TCTAAAATAATTTTTACAATTTAATAAAATTAAAACAATTGCTCAATATTATAACAATTTTTTTATAACAAATATATATATATACATACAAAAAAACTTATTATATTAAATTTGTTATGTTTCAAATTTATAAATTTATATATTTTTTTAGAATTTACTAACATGCTGAATGATGACACACATACAGAGTCATACACACACATACACAGTTAATATTTGAATTATATATTGTTTTTTTGACAATTTTTTTGTTATAATAATTTTGATGTCGAAATATGTGAGCAGAAAATTAAAATAGAAGTATTTTATATATTTTTTGGTATTTCTATACGTTTCGACGTGTTATCATGTCATCTTCAGTGAATCACAAGTTGAAATAAAAACAAAATTAAAAATAACTAATGTCTAAGTAAATCAATGGAAATTATGAAAAAACAGTAATATTCTATTCATTGATTTATTTGGAGTTTAGATATTTTGTATTTTGTTTTCTTTTCAATTTGTGGTTCATTGAAGATGACATAGGCTATTATGTCAAAACGTTTGGAAATAATGATGATTTTTTTAAAATTTTTATTTATTATTTTGTCAATCAAGACAATAATAAAGTTTATAGAAAATTCTTATACTCTTACTACAGAATACGTTCTTAGCAAACAAACATCTAATTATTAAAAAGATGAACTAAGTTGCATTTAAAATTTTGTATATATATATATATATATATATATATATATATATATTTGTATGTATGTATGTATGTATAAATATTGTAATATTGTAAGTACATAAATTGACTAACAATTTTACTATGTTGCATCACACGAGTAAAGGAAAGTACTCGTCGATACGATTTGTAAATGCACATGTAATATTACATATTTATTTATAGGAGAACCGGTTAAATAGTAACATATTATAAATAATTCGATAATTATATGACTTAGTTAATTTTGTACAAATTTGTCAAATATTCCATTTTTATCAGACAAACGGTTTAACAATTATCAGACACAAATGTGAAAAAGTGCACGAGGGCAGTTTTTTTGTACTATATGTAGTACAGCGGGCTTACACAAGATTTTTTGCACATTTTTAATTATGTGTTATCAATAAATATTTAGTGTCCTGTTTTTGTAACTTTTCCACAAAAAACAAAAATCTGTTTTGAGATAAACTAGAAAATACTTTATCGGTTAAAAAACACATGACGAAATTCCCAAAACGCAAGTTTTGTTTTCGTCGACGTTTTTTTATAAAAGTTTGATGAATTTTTTTGGCAAAAATCCCAGATTTGTGGAAATTTGGGTTTACCCTAATTCTGATTATTTTTAGTTAAAAAATATACTCCAGAGGATATTACTAAACAAAATGTTTGTTATATATTTCTGTTTTTTTGAGTAATTTTATTAAACAAAAATTAATAAAAGTGGAAATCAAGTGTGCCAACAAACAAAGAGACATCCTCGTCAACTGCCCTGGATGAAATTTATTTTAAGTTGTCAATATTTTAGTTACAATTTATATTATTTAGAACAAAGACATGATGTATATGTTTATATATGACTCGTGTTCGAATATGATATCAATTTCCTGCGATAAATATTATCAGATCGATTAATAATAAAGGCAATTAATCAAATATGCATAGATACAATATATATATATATATATATATATATATATATATATATATAAATTTATAAAATTGTTCCATGGAATTGTATAGTGTTTATTATTGAACTGATACAGTGAACGACCTTGCAGGTTCAGGTTCATTTCAGAGTCGTGTAGATCGAACATTTATACATTTACTCATTAATAAACAATGTATAAATATGTATAAACATGTGAATTGTATTAATGGATCGAATTCGAATCGAATCGATACGACTTTTGTAACAAAAATCCGTTTTTATCTTCACGGAATCTGACTCTAAAATTTTGTGTGACTCCGAACGATTTTGCTGATTCTGATGAAATGGTTTGGTAATAGCAAATGAAATATTTGACAAATTTTTACAAAATTATAATATATAAAGTTGTCTAATATATAAAGCCCTTCAGCAACTCGGTGTACTTTAAAATCACTTTCGAAAACAGACAAATAAACTGGACAGGGTTAAAGTGAATTTTTGCGGTTTTGCATGTATTTATTATATCCCTTGTAACTTTTGAATCGTTTGTCTAAAATACTTGTAGTCTTTGAAAAATTTGCACAAAATTAAATTATGCAGAATATTGTCTAACATTATAATGCCCTACATCAACTCGGTATACCTTAAAATCGCTTCGAAAAATCGACAAATGCACTAGATAACATTCTATAGATCAGTTGTACATTTATTTATTACATCTCTTGTAAATTTAAACCGTTTGTTCAATTTAAATGTAATATTTGACAAAATTGTATAAAATTAAATTATATTTTTAAACAAAATATTGCTCTATAGCAACTTGGTATACTTTAAAACAAAATGCAAACTGCAAAGAAGTTTTCGTCTTGAAACTAATTGCACGTTTTTTCATATAGAAAATAAATGATTGAGAAATTATCGATTACAATTAAGTGAGTTGATATATTAATTTTTAACTAATTAAAATTAGTATTAAAACGACTAATTAGTTATAGAAAAAGTAAAAAATTATAAGAAAATATAATATTTATTAGAATCGAGTGCCTTATAAAAATGATTCCTTAATAATATAAATAGTGGTAAATAAAATTAAAATTTCTTTGTAATTTTATATTGAATAAAATCCACTCTGGAATAAGCATTTGATTTTCCTAAAATAAAATCAATTATAAACGAATGTTATTAAAATCATTAATAATTCATATTAAATAGTGGTAAATGGGGTATCAAAACGTCTGCAGATTTTATTTTATTCCAGAAATATTTTAAGTGCTCTTATAAAATTATAAACTTTTGTTTACATAAATGTAAAATTAGTACTCATTTAAAATCTGTAAAATTAGTTGATGTCTAGTTTGTAACTAAGAGTCTAAATAAATAAATAAAAAAATTTAAATGCTCATAGAAAGTTTATAAAAAATATAAGTTTACAAATCGATTTGTTCAAAATAAAAGTATTCTGTAAATTAGTTTTTTCTTTCATAAAAATATTTAATTCACAATTGAAA